TACACGGGGTTCTCAGACCTTCTAGAAGCAGCCCTTCTTCAGACCTTGGAAGCAAGTTGACAACCTTGGACAATGCACAGCCTCCACCAGAGATGTCACTCTAAGACCCTGGTCTAATTTGTTTTGTTCTTCAACTGCTTACTTAGAATAATTTCCACAACTTGCACTTGCACTGTCCCTCAAATGGCCTGTGTTGAAGGCTTGGTCTCCAGCTTAGTGCTAGTAGAAGGCGATAAAAGCTTTCAGAGGTGGGGCCCACTGGAGGTTTTCGGATCTCAGGGAAGGGGGTGACTCACTCTCTCTCCCTCCCTCCTTTCTCCTCTGTTCCTCCCTCCCTCCTTTTCTCCTTTCTTCCTTCCCTTCTTTCCTTTCATAACTCTGCCATGAGGTGAATGGTTTTGCTACTATCATGATGTGCTTCCTCTACCCCCGTCCCTACCAGAGATCTAAAAGCAACAGTTCTGCTCAACTGTGGACTGAAACCTCCAAAACTGAGAGCCAGCATGAGCCTTTTCTCTTTATAAGTTAATTTTTCTCAGGTAGTTTTACAGCAATGGAAAGCTGACTAACAAAAAAATTGGTTGCAAGAAGTGGAGATGCAGCTATGACAATACCTGACCCTGTGGGGAAGCTTTGGGATTGGTTTATAGGAAGTTTGTGGAGTGGGGTAAAGAAAGATTAGAATGCTGCAAGCAGAGCTTAATGGGCAATTCTAGCCTGAACACAGAAGACAAGACAAGAATGCTGATAGGAATGGGGACAGCTAAAGGCTACTTCAGGAGGTTTCAGATGGAAATGAGTACTCTACTGGGAATTGAACTAAGGACCACCTGTGCTACACTGTTGAAAAGAACTTGCTTACATTTTGTCCATGCCTTAAGAGAGGATGATTTTAAGGGTAATGGACTAGATTATCTGGTGGAGGAAATTTCAATGCAGCATTGCTCTCAGGCAGCAGCATGAGTATTACTGGCTGTTTACTTAGCTAAATTTACAGTGAGAATCAGGAGCAAAAAGCAGAGATTTGAAAACCTTTGTCCAGAAAAGGAGTGTGTTTAAAGTTGCAGTCAAGAAGGATGTGGGTACTAGAGAGATTAGCACAATTAAAAATAAGTGAAGTACTTTTCCCTGGACAATAGGAAAGATATCTGGAGGGAATCTCAGAATTGGCAAGACCACAGCCATCATAAGCTCAAGGTGTAGAAATGCACACCAAAGACTCCACAAGGCAGAGTTTTTTGAGAAGAGGGCTCCAGAATATCCTGCCCATCTAAGTCTGCCTAAACCAGCAAAGCACTGAGGCCACTGTGGCCATGGTTTGAGCAAGTCCAGATATAGCTCACATTGGAGCAGACCTTGGCCTTGTCTATGTGATACTAGTTTTGCAGGGATGCAGAAAGCAAGAGTTGTGGGGTCATGGAGGTTTCCATCAGATTTCAGAGGAAGGCCTGGGAGTCCAGACAGTGTGTGGCAGCAGCCAAGTCAGGGTCTGTGCGGTCAGCCCCTGAGGTGATGTGTGAAACTTTGGGAATAAAGCTACAACTACAGTGGAAAAGCCAGGAATGTGGAAATGCCAAGAATGTGAGATGCCTGCCAGGAAAGATGCAGGCAGTGATCAAGGCAAATTGAGAATGGTCACAGGAGTTGTCATCAGTAAGGTCATGGGGTAGGGCTGCCCAAGCCCTTTGGAGATCACATCATGCTGTGTATGTGTGGCCCTTGTGCTGGACAACAAGCTATAGGATTTAATGCCTGCACTGCTGAGTTTTGGTCCAAATCTTTCTTATTATTTCCTTATTCCTTCCTTTCAAAATAGGAATATTTATTCTGTGCCACTATCTCTCGGAAATTGTACTATCCCCACCCGCACCCCACACCCGAGGGGTTCACAGCAGAGTTTACCTTGAGTCTCAGAGGAGATTCTGGACTTGGGACTTTTGGGACTCTTGGAGATGGACTGAATACAATTTGCATTGTGAGATGGACACAACCTCCAGGGATGATGGGTAGAACACTATGGTTGGCATCAGAATGTCCCCCAAGGATGCATGTGTTAAAGGCTTAATTACTAGCTTGGCACTACTGGGAATAGTGAAAACTTTGAGTTGGGACCTAGTGGAGGTTTTTGGTCACTGTGGGCCATGTCTTCAAAGGAGACAATGGGATCTCAGTCTCTTACTCTGTTGCTTTTTTTTTTTGACTCAGCCATGAAATGGGTTTTGCTATACCATGTGTTCCTGCCATGCTGCCCACCACTCACCATAGGCCTAAAAGCAACAGTTCACCAAACAGGGAATGGAACCTCCAAAACTGTGAGCTAAAATCAGCCTTTTCTCTTGATTTCTTCAGGTATCTTTTTTTTAAATAGTGACAGGAAACTAACACTTTCCCCCTCACTTTCAGTAGGCCCCTGGTTGTCATCCACTCATAAAGGCCCCTTGTCTCTTTTCTTTTTAATGATAGCTGTTAGGCTAGAACACACTCCTTCCTTCAGACAGTATCCAGTCTGCTTGACTTCACCAATGCCCGACTATTCCATCAGTCACCAGAGCCCCTGGGTAATGGCCTCTGATAATTCCAGTCTTGGGTTGAACTGACATGGGCAACTGACCCTCCACAAATCTACCTGTTTCTCTTCCTCCTAGGAAAAACAAAAACAGCTGTTAACACATTTATGACAGGGCCATATTTTGTATGTCTTGCTGCCAGGCGGTTCAGATTTGAATTTGATTGTTGCTGGTGGCTTGAATCACCAGTGGTACATGAATGACTGTCCTATCAAGTGGGTTGTAACACTTCTCAGGGGGCCTCTGATTATACTAATGCAAAGAGATGCATTGATTTAGCAGATCACATGTCATATTATAGTTGCGTAAGGAAAACATTCAAATGGTATAAAAAATTATAATACAACCAATTTGTGGTACAGCAGGTATAAATGCATATTATGTATATTAGTGATTGGGTACCTGTAAGATTTCCATGTTAAAACTTAGAGAATTAATTACTGACAAACTATTCATGAATATAACTAAATTTCATTTAATTTAATGAAATTCATTTGTTGATTATTGTAATAATTTTAATTGGTGTGAATACTATTAATTAATATTTATATTCAGGCAGTAATTATTCAGATTCAAGCAACTATCTAGATTCAGTCTATTTATATATTTTTTATGAATTTTATGAATAAAAAGAACAATAAAAGTACCACCAGTGGTACAAGCCACCTGATGGGACAATCACCCATGTACCATGGGTGTATCAAGCCGATGGGAACGTGTTACAGCCAGTCAGTAAGGTGAGTCTAAATCTAACTTCCACCTCCTGCAAGAAGCAACACAAAGGATTATGCACTGACTTGGCCAGAGCAGGCCTTGTCCTAGCCACCAGTCTTTCACAACAACTTCTACCCGCAGGTTCCTCTCCAGACACTGTTACCTTTGGGGCTGGGAAACATCTGGCCCTGTGGGTCTCTAACTGGTACCACATCCACTGCAGAAGAAGGTCTTGAGACTTCTCTGTATTTGGAAACTTTAATCCCAGAAATCCTTATGGTGAGAAATTCTGTCAGATTTGTGACCCAAAACAGCCACGTTGACCACTCTCTTAGAGGAGCACCTGACTTCCTACACGGCAATCACCTGGCATGAATCATACAATGAAAAAAGACTGCTGGCTCTGGCAGAAGTGACCGATGATGGGCCTGTGCTCTAGAGGAATGAGAAATGGTCCCATGTGCTGGCACAAATGGTTTTGGCCAGCCGCCAGCTCCAGACTTACTGTTGGCTGGCTGTGGCACCCTCACTGCTACTGCTACTATCTTCTGTGAGACAAGAATCAATGGAGCAGGCTATGTGGCCTGAAAGAAACAATCAGGGTCTCTATGGCTGGGCCTTGTGGGCTAATGAGCTTTTCTTTCCGTCACAGTGGTCACGGCGGTACTCTCTGTCTAGTCCTATGAGTGTCCATGCAGCCACGCTCTTGTCACATGACGGCCAAGATGACAGCAAAGCAGAAAGACCAAGACCATTTTGCAGTACAGGTGACATGATGACAGCTGGATCACTCCACTGGAGATCCAATCCCTGGTCCTTCCCGAGGTGGCAAACCTCTAGCAGGCAAGAGAACGACTGTGGGAAGAAGCTGAGGAGCTGAATGTGCACACTGGTGATGGCCAGGGCACCCAGGATGGCCCAGCAGTGAGAACTCAGCTGGTGACCACAGCTTCCCTGAGGCTCGCCCCCACTCAGGGTCAGCAGATGCGCTCCCCATGTATACACATGGGAATCTGTAGCTGCCCCTCAGGCATTCTGAGAGCCTCCAGCTGTCCACTGTGTGGTATTTCTTCCCCTGCCTGCTCTGACAGGTGTGATGGTGCCAATAGCTGGCTCTTTGTCCACACCCTGCTTGTTTATGCCCTTTAGAGAGGTCTCTGTTTATTCTCATAAATCCTGCCTCACTATCTGATGGTCACCCCTCATTTTCAACAGAACACCCCCCAGCTTCATTGCCCTTCACGAATAAAGACATTAAATGGAAACACAGAATGCTGAGCTCTACCTCAGGTGCACAAAAGTGCTGCATCCACACCATATGTGTGTTCCAGTAGCACAGTGTGCGCTGTCCAGCAGCACAGTACGTCTATCTGCATCTAAGCCAGGCTGTGGAATCCCCTGAAGTTCAGCTGCTGTGTGGTGTGTGACTGAGGGCCACGGTAGGAGTTGTGACCATGGCTGGGGTCTGGGAAATACCAGTGAGGGGTCTTCTCCAGTGTGTGCCCACTGGAGGGGCTGCTTTAGGTGGAGGGCTGCTGAAGACAGACAGGGCCAGGGAGGGTACTTCAGAGGCAATGAGGTGACAGGAGCTCGAGCATAGCAAGGTGCAGCCTAGCAAGGTGTCTGGGGTGGGCTGGGCCATCCTCTTGTCTAGGGAATGGTGTGGGGCCCACAGCCACCCATGCCCGCTGGTGGCAGTCTCATGCAGGCATGCCTCACCTCTTCAAACTTGTAGGCAATCATGGCGAAGGCTTTAAAGATGGCATCTGTTGGGCCTGTGATGGTCACAATTCTCTCTGGGCAGTTGCCCTCTGAGATGTTGATCCTGGCACCACTCTAGGGTGAGAGCAGAACAAATATGGTGACAGAGAAAAGAACAGTGCTGCCCAGGGTTCAGTGCTATACCACACGGAGGTACAGCATCAGCCCTGGCCTCTCCCTGCCTCACATACAGCAGGCTTCCCCGCAGGCCTTTGCCCTCATGGAATGGAGAGTGCACAGATTACAGAGCCACTACAGAAGGCTAGAATCCCATGCCCAGGTGGGTGGTAGTCAGCAGGGCAGGGATAATGAGCTATCAAAATGACCAGGGGGCCTTGCTGGGCCAAGGGAGAATGGTTTCCCTTGCTCACGCAATGCCCACCACAAACAACAGGGGCTGGCCCTGCCTGCAAGCCACACCAGCACTGGGGTTCTTTTAGCAGTTCTCTTTTTTCTTTTTAAATTATGGCACAGGGAATTGAACCTATACCCCAAGCCTTATTTATTTATTTAATTCAGAGACAGTGTCTTACTAAGTTGTCAGATGAGACTCAAATTTGTGATCCTCCTGCCTCAGTCTCCTAAAGTACTAAGATTATAGGCAGGTGCCACCACACTCACCTAACAAGCTCCTTCACAGTGAAATTATTTAGTGAAAGGAGCACTAGTGGTGCCTAAGGGAGCATGTACGTAGCACCTGATCCTCTGCACACACTGGTGTCAGAGGGAAGCCTGTCCCCTTTACAGTGAGCCCTTGCCACCCCTGTCCACAGGGCAGGCCCTGACTTGGGAGACAGGTGTTGCTAGGGTAAGCACACTCACCTCCTCACGCATCTTCTTCACAGTCTCCCCTTTCTGGAATGGAGATGGAGACAAGGAAAGGTGTCAATGGTACCTCTGTGGAGGGCACACAGGCCTCACATGGCCCGTATGCTGTGAGCCATGTCTCTTGCATGCCAAGGAGAGTAGCCAAGGTGTCGAGGGGCTGGGCAGGGAGTTGCCTGCTTCCTGTTGGCCTGGGAGTGGTGGTCTCTCCACTCATAGGCAGACCCCTCACATACAATCTCACAGCCCTTCCAGCATGGAGGATGGTGTGGGTAGGGAGCACACTCTCCATTGGTATAGCTGCCAGGCAGTGGCTCTAGCCTGACCCAGTGCCTACTGCCATGGCACTAGGTACACAGAGCCACAATGGTCTTCGGGCTGTGAGGTTCCTGACAGGCACTGCACAGGCTCAGTTGCCCCCATCTTGCACAGATAGTGATGCCCTAAAGTGCTTAGCCTGAGAAAGAATGAGGAAGAGGCAAGATGATGAGGCATTGGTGACTCCCCACAGCAAGAGGAAGTGTATCTGACCTAGGCCAGCTGGTGTGGGCCCCTGAGCTGGGCAAAGCACAGCCACACAGAGGTACAGCATCAGCCCTGGCCTCTCCCTGCCTCACATACAGCAGGCTTCCCCGCAGGCCTTTGCCCTCATGGAATGGAGAGTGCACAGATTACAGAGCCACTACAGAAGGCTAGAATCCCATGCCCAGGTGGGTGGTAGTCAGCAGGGCAGGGATAATGAGCTATCAAAATGACCAGGGGGCCCTTGCTGGGCCAAGGGAGAATGGTTTCCCTTGCTCACACAGGGCCCAGGGCCAGTTTCAGGTTGTGTAGGACCCAACACAGTGCCCTGGACCCTGACTTTCTCCTGCACTGTGCTGCATGCCTGAGGGGCATCTAGGACCACCCAGAACCAGGGGCTACTGTGTCCTTGCTGTCCTTTGACAGAGACTCAAGAGAGGTAGAGTTCATTCAATAATTACCTTCCCAATGATGCTGCCAACTTCCTGTAAGGAGAAAAAATCATAGAAAGATGATGTCATAGGGCAGCAGAAGAAAAATGTCTGGGATACATGCTGCAGAACCTGCCTACCTTCCTGACATGACAGGGCAGAGTTTACTTACTGATTTATTTTTATGTGACCTGGGGATCACACCAGGGCCTGATACACACTAGGCAAGTGCTCTGCCGCTGAGCCATACCCAGCCTAGAGAATCTGGATGCAGCAGGAGGATCTGACCGAGGGGAGTCTAGGAGGAGAACAGGCCAGCTGCTCCCCAGATCAGTGACCAGGAGGGAACCCATATGCTCTGGGCCTCAGAAAGAGCCATAAGGACTGGGTGGAAAATGAAATTGGCTGGGTGTGTGACACCAGAAGAGCTGCAATGGAGCTGCCATAGCCTGTTTTAAAGGCACTGGCCAAGATGCCACAGCTGTGGAGATGCCCCAGCCCTTGGGGGTGCCTGCTTCCAGTGAGCCAGGTGTCACCACATCTGTCTGCCTATGTGAAGCTCCAGACCTGTGCCACTATGGTGTATCACTTGAGGTAGGGCCACTCTAGCTTCTAGCCACAGAGCATGACATCCTTCAAAGCCTTGTTAGAGCCCTGTGCTCAGCCATTCCCTTGCAGCAAGGCTCACCCTGGCCCTGACCCAACCTGTCACAGGCTGGTTTTACCTCCCAGGAGTGCATGGTGGCGCTGAAGCTGATGGGGGTTGTAGGGGGAGGACAACTGACACTACATCTAGAGAGCCCACTGTGTTGCTGCCATCTGCAGGACAGGTGGTTCCATCTCTCCACCTCACAGGTGGATATTCTGGGTGTGTACTCCTGCTACAAATCCTAGTAGGCAGAGAAAAGAGTGCTCCTAGTGCTGATCCTGTCTACTCAAAGGAGTAAGGATTCCTGGGGACAGGGCTAATTCCAGGGTGAGTACAGGAAAGGAAAAGATGAGCCAAGAAAAGGAGACAGTGCTGTAGGAATGGTGGGGATATGTCAGGGGGCTCAGAAGCCACCAGGGCAGGAACGGTATGAGTGCAGTGATAATCGTGATGTTGTGGGGAACAATGGCAACCCCATGCCCATATAGACATGGATGCCTGAACAAATGCATGAGGCCCAAGGACAATGGATGGGGAGGAGGCAGGCATCTCCCACCCAGTGCCACCACAGTGACATCTGGGCCACTGACTGGAAGGCTTCTGTGACATTCCTGCCAATGGCAAGGACACATTCAATAAGGCCAAGTGAGGAGCACACCACAAGAGCAAGGCAGAAACCTTCACCAGTGAGTCAAAGAAAGGAGTGTTTCAGATAGGAGACTGGAGGGAAGTGATAAGGCCATGCTCAGCCTGTCTCCTGGGGACCTAGCCATGGAGGACGCATGCAGGCTGGCAAGCAGCAAGGGCTAGCGCGGAGATGCCCTGACTTGGAGGGAGACCAACCTGCCTGTTGAAAGGTGCCTGGGGTGCTCAGGGACAGGGCTTGGGTCAGCTACTGCATCTGAAGTGGTTCCAGGAAGGGGGTCACATGGGAGGGGTTGTGCCTGCTTGAGAGCTCAGAGTGAGAAACACCAAGTAAAAACTTCAGTGTCTTGCCCCTTCCTCCTGGGGCTACTCTGTACCTTTCCATGCATCAGTAGGCGGATGGTCAGGGTCACATTCAGGCCACCTTCTGAAACCTTGGACTCCATCTTTCTCCCAAAATGCAGCTGGGGGTAGAAGCTTAAGGTGTTGAGGGTGCTGTGAGGAAGGATGGATGGGGCCCAGATGGTGTCACCTAGAAAGAGAAGGTGGGCTGTTGACTACTGGACACCAGCAGATCTACTGGCTAACTCCCATGCAGGAGTGGATGTGCTGCGATCACTGCCATGTGCCGAGGAGGCCTCACTGATAGGGCCTGGGGTATCTGGCGGCTCACATCAGGCTCTCCATGCCTCACAGCACTCTGAGCAGGTCACTCAAACCCTCCAGCCCCAGTCCCCTCCTCTGTGAAGAGGGCCATAGCAGCACCACTCCCAGAAGTTGGAGAGCATAGGAGCCCCAGCATGGCCCCAGGGAGAGCCCACCCTGTTGCCTGGGCTGGGCAGCCCCCACTCTCCATGTAGTCTTACTTCTGCCCATTTTTCCAGTCACACCAGGAGCAGCCCTAACGTGCTAGGACCTTCTCCCAGAGGCTACTTGCTTTACTCTCAAGCACAAGGGAATGCACTGCATTGGTCCCTTTGCACGTGGGACACAGTCCTTGGTAGCCTCATTGTTTATGTGGACTCAGTCTCCAGCTGCAAAGTTGCCAAACCAAACTGCTGGGATCCCTCAGCCAGAGCTGTCAGAGATCCCCCACTCCAGCACAGGCCCATGATTCTTCTAGCTTCCTGCAGGGAGAAATTCAGGGGGTGCCCCTGGGCTATATAAAGTCTTCCTTCCATTATTTGCAGGCAAAGATGGATCAAAGGTACAATGAAAGTGTTCATGGGAAATAATAGGACGGCCTTGTGTCTTTGAGGGTCACCTGGATCCAGGTCCACAACAGGAGCAGCCTGCACTTCTGGAGCTCCCAGCACTGAGCTCCCATGAGCTCCTGAGGCAGTCTCTCGTCAGGGAGCCCCAAGTGTGAGGACAGACCACTCTCACCATGGTGGTGCAGCTGCTGCCCACCCATATCTGTAGACAGCTGCACCTGCAAATGCGCCCCTGAGAGAATAAAAGGGAGGCAGCCAGGAATAGGGAGGAGAGGGTGTTGGGTCCACAAGGACTCCAGAGGCAAGGGGGCAAGAGATGCCTATGCCCAGGAGAGAGCAGCACTCAGTCCTCCTACATGGGGCACAGACACAGGAATATGGGGGTTCCCAGGGACAGAGAGGAGACAGAGAAGGTCCCTGGGAAGGACATGGGTGTGGGTGGCCTCTATAGGACCAAAAGAGCAGCCCATCAGGGAGGCACAGGTGTCAACGGTCCCCATAGCAGAGCCACATGGTAGGCACAGACCACTACCTCCAGAGATGCCTTGCATACCTACCAACACGTGCACCTGAGAGGTGGGCAGTCTCTAGGAAGAGGAAAGGTGTGGCTGTGCTTCCCTGGGAGACCCTTGCCACAGTCCTCACTCACACCTTCTTCAATGACAAACTGTCCCAGAAAAATGGCTGCCCTAGGGGACCCATCAAGGACAGACTCGGGGACATGTGTGTGCCTAGCCCCATGTGGCAAGCTATCCAGACACTGTAACATAACCAGGAGGAGAGAAATAGCCTGTTCAGTCAGCTGTGTGGTGTGTCAGGATGTCTGGAAGGGCAAGCACTGGTGACCGGCAACGTACAAAGGGGCAGCAATGGATATACTCCTGCATTAGTGAAGTAACAGGGTATTGCACTTGTGCTTTAAAAATGGATTTCCAGCTAACTTCCTCAAAAACGCAAATCATTAGTTCTCATTATTATTCATGATAAAATGACACTTTTTGGTTTTTTGTTTTTTTTCTCTTTACTAAAATGCTTTATTGAAAGAGATAATTAAGTGAGACTTTTGTATTCGATTAATAGACACCTTAACAATTACATTCATCATAGACTCTTATTTTTCTATTTACATGAGATAAGCAGTATAATTTATTTATATGGCTTGTCATCCATTGTATATTATATGTTCTATATTTCTCTATAATTCCACATTCTCTTTTAAAATGGTAATCTTAATCAGATATAAAACTGTAGCAGCAGTTTAGTTAATATTAAGTTCAGGCAAAAAAGCAAAGTTTATCTTCTTGCTAACTTCCACTGCTATGTGTTGTCTCCCGGCCTGTGATACCAAGAACCACCCCAACCCAGTCACCCCACACCTACAGCTCTTCTCTGTTAAGTGTCCTATTTGCTTACTGAATTGAACACAGCATGCGCTTAGCAAATACCTATCTTTGACCAATGAATGGCTCTTATCTTCTAGCCTACAATGATATCTATATTTTTCTACAACCTTCATTCCTTAACCCTGCTCAATGAACTGGTAATTTGTTTTCTTTATATGTCATATCTCTTTCCTTAAATAATTCATTGATTATTGAGTAATTACTCACTTTGTGCCAGACACTGAATATGCCGTTTTACTCACAATTAAACAAGATTCTGGTCCTAACGATTCTTAAAATCTAGACACTTTTTGAACCACAAGGCATTTAATGTAGGGTGTTAACACAGCCTTTGACAAGAGTTTTACATAGTAAAAAGTGCTTAAGATCATCCCGGCACATTAATGTCTGTATCTGCACAGTCCAACACCAGTCAAACGTGCTATTCACATTTCAAACCAAACTCACTGGGCACCTCTGAGTGGCTGCTGGCTGCCCTTCAGAAGAGCACAGGGAGAAGGAGTTCTGTGGCCAGCACAGGCGCATGTTCCCTGCAGAACACTGTGAAGATGTGTTGCAAAACAGTGCACCAGCTCCAGTGGCTTTCCCGGCACCAACAGCCATGCATGTCTACACAGACATTTGTGACAAGGCCAGAAAAGACTTTCTTCCAGATTCATGTTTTTGTAAGGCTGATTTCCTAGCACCAAAGAATTGGATCACATCATGGCCAGTCTGAGGCTCTGCCTCCTTTTTAATTAAAGACATCTCCTCCCACCAAGGAGAAAGCACATCTGTTACATAAATGTTCCAGCCCAGAGAGGAGAAAGTAGGTCAGTGCCTGCCCTGGGTGCTTCTAGCTCCCAGCTGTCAGCAGCAATCAGTCACACAGAGATGGAAGGGGCTATTCAGGCCCTCTAAGTACTTCAAGGGCAGGCGCTGTCCGGGGAATGGCATGGTCACTGGGATCAGGACTCAGTCCTAAGGACTCACCCTGCTCCACTGCAGCACCTGGATGACAGCCCTCTTGGTAGGTATAGGCCAGAGGAACCCCACACCTGTCTTCTGCCATCCCTGGGTACCTGTGTGCTTGTGGTGACTCGAGAGTGTCCGAAGCCATGCTTGCATCCAGCCCACACAGGCTGTCTACCCAGTAGCCCTGGATAGCCCTGTCCACCCAGGGCTACTAGGAAATTAAGGGCTCAGCAGGAAGCAAGGCCTGTCACTCTGCTTGGTCATCAGCGAGGGATTGGCAGCATCTCCTAGGACCTTCCCTCTCTTCTCTGGAAGCCCCACCCTGTTCTCTTCAGTGCTGGCATTTAACATATTTTTGAGTCACCTAATGGGAGACTGAGAAGAAACAGATATGGTCACTCTTGGCTTCTGTCCACACTTGCCCAGCAAGCCTATCTAAGCCTGGCTGCAGTGCCATGCTGTGGGAACACTGTCCACACAAGTGCCTCAGCCCAGCACATGCCCTGGACCTCGACTCCCAGGGCAGGAATCTGGTTCAGCTGCATGGATTTTTAGACCTTGCATCTGCTCAGTGCAAGGACAAAGCTCCCAAGCCTCCCATCCGCCAGGGCATTCACCTACCTAACTGTCTCAGCACCCTCCGACCAGCACTCAGGCCGAAGCTCTCCTCTCTCCTCCCCGCCCAATCGTTGACATTCGACGTGGAATCCAAGCCCCTGCCCCTCTACAAGCAGGACCAACCCACCCTTCCTCGTGTTCCTAAGCCCCGCTGGCTGCCCTCCTCTCAGCTCTCAGAGCAAGTCCAAGCCCACAACCAGACTCACTGCTCCTCCTTCTACCTCCACCCTTCTCCCCCCACCCTTCTCCCCAGGAACCCCACTGCAGGGCTCTACATCTGCCACCCCCTTGTCCCAGAACCCAAAGTCCTTCCTTCCACAGCTCAGTGTGAACCCCTATCCCTCACTGCTCCCAGAAATGGCCCCTTGTGTGAGTGCACGTGCACACACACACACACACACACACACACACACACACCCCATAAGCTTCATGGGTTAGAGACAACAACCCTGGTACTGCTGTGGAGACAACCATTACCAAAGAAAGAAATAAAGGTGAGCAGAGTGACAGGACACCAGGAAGTGAAGAGAAGAGAAGGAAGGAGAGGAAAAGGGCTAGTGAGGGGACAGGGTGGCAGTGAGGGTAGGTCTGGGGTTCAGATGAACAACAGCCAGCGCCAAAAAATCTGGGAACAGTACCTGCACCAGTCCTGGGGCACAGACCACTACAAGGAATGACAGGGTGCCTTGGGCTGGTGCAAATCAGCAGCCATTCAGGGCCCACCTTGGCTGCAGACATCCCATCCAGTCTTGGGCCTGCTGACTGTCAGGCAGCCTGTGCTGTCCGCCACTACAGTACACGCCTAGGCATGCTGCACGTAAGCTCTGCCTCAGGAGCTGTCCAGGAAGGAGTGTGACCACAGGAAGGGTGTTGTGGCAAGATGACCATAGTCTGAGATATCTGTGACCTTGAAATGAGAAGCTGCACTTGACCAATCTCTCACTAAGAAACACAGAGGCACAGAGATCAGACAAATCCTCACATAGGGGTTTTGCTCTTTCTGTGGGGTCTCACTGAGCATCCCCCACTATGGTGGGTGCACCACTGTCTCTCCACTTTACTGATGGAAGGATGAGCGTGAGGAGAGGCTAGGGGACTTGCTGAAGTGCCTGGCTGACTATGCAGAACAAGGGTGAGGACCCAGGCAGCCCTGGCCATGCCTGTGACCTACAGTCACAGCTCAGCAGGAGAAGCAAGACATCTGCTTTAGGGAGAGTTAGTGGCTTCCCCTAACTCCTGGCAACAGCCAACAGGCAGATATGACATCCACAGCAGACACAGGCATTGTTAGGCTACCAGGAGCAGGGCCCCAGAGTGACCCAGGGAGACTGTCCCAGGCCTCC